CTGTATATGCTATATAAAGGGAGTTATATGGGGCCTGTATCCTAGAGATTCAGTTAGTGTCTGGGAAATCTGAAATGAGCTCAATCTGAAATCTGATATCTGTTCTGTTGGTGCTATAAGCACATCTATTCTGGTGCTATAAGCACATCTGTTCTGGTGCCGTGAGCACAAAGGGAGGCATAAGGGGCCAGAATCCGTAGAGATTCTGTCAGTGTCAGGGAATTTAGCTATTAATTACAATACTATCTGATATCTAATTTGATATGACTTCTGTTTCCATACAGTTCTGTTTGATCTGTTCCGTTTAGATCTGTTTTGATTTGATAGATTTGATATATGTCCGTATCTGTTCTGATTTGATCTGTTTCGTTTTGATCTGCACGATTTTGATATATGTCTGATTCTGTTCTGGTTTCTGTACGGATTTGGTTTGAAGTGATTGGTTTTGGATTCTGGAAGTTTTGATTGGAAGTTTGTCGCTTTGCTGAGCTGTTGAGCTTACCCTTGTTTTCTGCGTGATTTCAGGTTCTGGCAAAGGGAATGAGGTCTTGGATTAGAGTTCTGAGTCTGATCAGTTATAGGTATTTTGTACTTTTTGATTTTTGTACAGTCATGGCTTTTCTTCTTTGTTCTTTCTGTCAGCCATGTACTGTATTTGTAGATGATTGTTTTGAGGAAAAGAAAAAATATAGATGATTTATTCTGCTGCATTTGATGTTTCATAGTAGCTCTGTGTGTCTGTTTTTGAGTTGAAATATTTGGAAGAATCAGTTCCAAAGCAAATTCCAAAACCAGATCCTGGTCTGTTCGTTTGGCTGGTCGCGGCCCGGTGCGGGCGGGATCCGTCCCGGTCGGGTCGGGTCGTGACAATTGCTCCCCTAATTGAAGCACAATATCTCTTTGGGGTAGATGTAGCTTTTTTGTAAAGGTGGCTATAGAATTGTTGTAGAAAAATAATTGTTTTTAAAGTTAATATGGGTATTATAATTTAAAAAAAAAAATCAAACAATTACAGCTACTACACACGAGCAAATATAGATGAAAAATAATAATAAAATAATGGCTAAATGAAAGTATGACAAAACCTATAAAAGCAAAACAATCAGAAAACTACCCCAAACAAACCTTAAATTAACTAGATATTTGATGGAAATGAAGCTTTGGAAATAGTTCCCTATGCTAGTCCCTCATCTAAGAGATATTTAGTTTGAGGATTGACATAAGAATCAAATGATGGAGAAATTTTCATTTATAATAACCTTATCCAAATTTGATAATGCTTGATTTTTTACCCATTTGATTTTCCTATGTGCAAAATAAAGTGATGCTTTTACTAACTATATGTTCATGACTTATATGCCATATATACATATATTATGTATATATAATAATTATTTAATCAATTATAACTTAACCTATACAAGAAAATAAGCTTTCACAAATATAATCATATATTCAATAATAATAATTTCCAACCATTCACAAATCCCCCTATAAATAATTAAGTGATAAAAGAATACTTATTGAGTGACCAATTAGAAATTAAGAGGTGAAATAACTTGAAGCAAGAGAGTATGAAGATGATGCATCGAGAAGCATTATCAAGAATAAATTTGTGACTTGTGAGTGAACTTTTGAGTGAGATAGCAAGAATAGAAGAACAACCAGAAGCAACTAACACAAAAAGAGATAATAGACAATCAATTAGCCACAACTCAACGACTATGAGAAATAGCAAGGAGAAACGCATATTTGTGTTTGATTGTTGTGGTAAATGTTGAACCAAGCAATGAAATATGTACAAAGATTTCATTGAGCCATAGCTGAGTACATAAATCTATTACATGATGTGCCAAAGTGGAATGGCATGGCTACTTTGTTGTGCCTTGTGCTTGACTAGCAACCCATTTCACACGAATAGTTTATCGCTTCTAAAATACGCTTTTAATAACGTTCCTAAAAGCTTTTAAATACCTCTTTGGGCTATAATGTTGTACATTTGGATTCCTCTTTCTTGTTTCAAAAGCTTGAATTTTGTTTTGGGGAGTGAATATAAACGAATGTCATCTATAACCTTATAATCTTCTTCATCTTTTGAGAATTTACTTGAAACATTCCCAGCCCATATCACAATTCATTCATTTACTAAACTGCAAATCCTCCATCAACCGGTTATAAACGGCTATATTTGGTATGAACCCTGCATCCAACATCTCATCCACCACCCTCTCCCCTTCCTTCTTCTTCCCTTCCCCTGCAAATCCTTGTACTAGTATCGAGAAAGTCGCACCATTAGGATCAAAACCATATCTTGTAGCAAAAATTCTAAATTTATTAGCGTCCATCGTCCTTCCAAAGCTGCAAAGATCATCTATAAGACAGTTAAATGTTATTCTATCAGGCAGCATTCCCTTCTCCACCATTTTCTGCATCACTCCATAAGCTTCATCCAGTTTTCCTGAATTCCTCAAACCTTCAATTAGAGTAGTGCAGGTTACCACTCCGACGAACTTCCCCTTTTCCCAGAACAAGCTAAGAATTTCCAATCCCTTCTCTGCTTTCCCTTCCGCACAGAGCATCTCAATCAATACCAAGCAATCAAACTCGTCTGGCACCACTCCCTTAGCCATGAAATTCATCAAAAGCTCAAATGCTTCCTGATTTCTTCCATCCCTGCAAAGCCCATGAATCAGAATTTCGCAGGTGGAAGCCGTCAGTTTGAAGCCAAGGTCTAGCATCTCCAATGCAGAACCAATACCTTCGTTGAATCTCTTCTGCCTAAGGAATCCCGCGATCAAAGTATTGAAACTGACTGCATTCGGCTCCAAGTTTTTCAATTTCATCTCTCGAAACCAGGTTACGGCGGAATTGAACTCGGAATTCCGGCAGGCACTATCAATTAGGATGTTGAAGGTATGGGTATCAGGCTTCACGCGATCCTTGATCATTGCCTTGTACCATTCGACGGCGAGGCGGTGATCACCGCGGCGGGCAAAGGCATGGATGATCAGGTTGTAGAGGGCAGGATCGAGGCGCCCATCAATGGATCGGCGGGCATCTGCGAGGGTCTGGGAAGCATCGTCAAAGCGGCCAGCACGGGTAAAGGCGGCAATGGAGGCGCGGTAGATGTGAGGGAGACGAGGGCAGGAGAAGATACTCCCGCCGGCGGAAGTGGAGGTGGAGCAAGGACAGGGATGAGTGATAAGGAAGCCAAGGAGGAAGCGGAGATAGTCGAGGCGGCAGGAGGCGGCGAGGGACCGAGCCATGTACTCGTAGGTGGAATGGTCATGGCGGAAGGAGTCCGAGGAGGAGGCGGCCCAGAAGAAAACGTGGAGATCGTAGGGTGCAAAGAAAGGGTGGTGATGGAGGCGGCGGCGGAGGAAGTGGAGTAGATCAGCGGCTGTGAACGAGCGTGCTAAATGAGATTGGAGGAACCGGACAAGGACAGAGGGAGGGGCTGGTGGTGCGATGGAAACCGTGGGGAGTGGATCAGGGACGGATGGCTCGACGTTAAGGAGAACTTGGTTAGGGTTAAGATTTTCGTTTATTCGGGGTTTTGAGAAAGAGGATGATAAGATCTTATAGTGAGATCGAGAAGACCTTCTTGACGCCATGGGCTGTTAGAAGAAGCCCTGGTTTTATTCGTTTAAAGTTATGTCAGGACGAAGATAGGTCATCATCTTCATAAAAAAATTCAGATCTATTTTATAAAGAAGATTTTTTTTTTTTTTTAAAGGAAGGTATGAGTGTCCCAAAAAATAAGGATTTTTACATACATAACACCTAAAATTTGAAAAATACATATTAAATACCTAAACTACCATATTTACTTATATACCACTTAAAATTCATTTCTAACATTTGAAATACCATTCCGAACGTTTTCGTCAAAACCACTCCCCGACCTGTTCACGCGCGAAAGCTTCTCGGACGATGACGACTGTGGCCTCTTCTTTGCTCGAGCAGGTAGTGTTACCTTCTTCCAGCGTGAAAGATTCTCCTTCTCGTGAAACTATTTCTTCTAACCAGCCATTCGTGTGCCCTAGGTTCTTGTTCACGCGTGAAAACTTCTCTGATGATAATCGTGGCCTCTTCTTCGCTCAAGCAGATAGTGTTACCTTATCGTTATTCTGACTCAAAATTGATTTGAATATCATGCTATATGAGTTATCTTGAGTTGTTGTTCAAGCTATAAAAAATATCTTGAGTTGTTGTAAAAATCAAAATTGAATTTTATAGTTTTCTAAATTGACAAGAAACTGTAATTTTTGAGTTGTTATATCATGCTATATGAATTATTGAGTAGTTGAATATCATGTTATACGAATTAACTTGAGTTGTTGTAAAAATCCGCAACTGATTTTAAAGTTTAAGAGCTGAGAGGAATGTATGATTTTTGTTCACTTTGGCTAACTCATTTTGATTCTTTTTTTTTTTCACTTTGCCTAACTCATTAATTATATGCACACACAAAAACGGATTCAAGTCATTTTTGTTGCATTGTCCTCAAATTTGGTGTATTGGAGTGAGGTGCAGGGCCAAGCTCGAATGAAGTATGTGGGTGGAAGTCGGAAAACCTTAAAGCTTCGAAGAGATGAAATCAGTTTGTTATTGCTTAAAGAACGAGTTGAATCACATTGTTATTGGCTAAGGGGTCAACCATTCGACTTACACTATCATGTGAATGCAATATCACCTAAGGATTACAAGTTGGGTTCAAGCGATTCAGATGTACTTGACATGCTTGGCAGTTCTTATGAAAGGAATATATTTTAGGTGGCAGATGCAGTGAAATATCATGAGAAAGATATGTCTCAATCATAAAACATTCAAACTGAAATTGACAACCAATTAATTGAAATGCATCCGTTTAGCTCAAAGATCGAAGAAAATAATGATATTGTAGTAGATGATCTATGTGATGAGTTCTTCATACCTCAAACTGATGAGGCAAATAATCTATGTGTTGGTTTGACATTTGAGGATTCCCAAACTTTCATGAAAGTAGTTAAGTATAATGCAATTTTACAGAATTATGTTACAAAGATACAGGCTAGTGACAAATTTAGAGTAACTATTACTTGCGCATACAGAGGTTGTCCATGGAGAGTACGTGCTTCATTGTGTCATGATGGGCACTCCTTCGAAATCAGAAAAATTGAATCAACTCATTTATGTCCTGGGGTCAATAGAGTCGGAAACAATCAAGCTACTACTACTTGAGTCACACATGAAATCAATGTGTGCATTGATGGTTTCAATGCCGGTTGTAGATATTTAATTGGAGTTGATGCTTTCCATCTCAAATCAAAATATATTGGCGTACTACTATCCACAAATTATTTGGATGATAATAATGGTCTCTACACAATAGCATATGATGTTGCTGAATCGGAGTCCAAGAAATCATGAGAGTTATTCTTGAGAAACTTGTTGGAAAGTTTTTGCTGTGAAAATGAACAATTAGCCTTCATATCCGACATGGAGAAGGACCTTGGTGAAACTATAAAGCTTATTTTCCCAAATGTTGAGCATATAGTGTGCATAAGACACCTATGGAAGAAAATTAAAAAACTCTTTCGCTGTGAAGATGACAACAAATTTTAGAATCTGGTTTGGACAGTCCCAAAGACTTGCAAGCTATATGATTTGTACATGAAACTTGAGGATATTTTTAAAATTAGTCCACAAGTATACTCTTACTTGAATATGTTGTCATACAAGTAGTCTAAGGCAATATTCTCAAAGCACATTAAAAATCACTACAATACGAACAACATGTCTGAATCATTTTATGCATGGATTGAAGAAGCAAGAAGAAAGCTCGTAGTTGATTTGGTTGACATGATTAGAGGAAAGCTTATGGAACAACACTCTTATAGAAAGATTAATTGTGCCTCTTGGAGAGCTCAACTAGTACCTATGGCAGAGGATTACATAAGAGATATAAGTACAAGGAAAAAGGCATTTTATAATTCCCCAGTCAACTTCAAGCAGAGCTAAAGTTGAGGGACTTCATGAAAGACACGAGGTGGACATAAAGAGGAAGGAATGTAGTTGTGGATTTTGGCAATTAAGTGGTCTATCATGTATACACAGTGTTGCATTCATTTGAACGCGACAACATACCTTATGGCATACATATGTTGTTTAATAACATATGGTGCATTAGTTTAGTTTTGATAGTTCAGTAGTTTAGATTCAATTTAGTTTTGTTTTGATAGATGTGAGTCTTTGGAATATAAAGTTTTGATAACAATATTTCCAAACTAATTTATGTGTGTCTTTGGAATAGCTGTGTTTCACATAAAAATCTTTTTTGAATGATGGCTTTTACCCATAGTAATTGCATTAAATGCTAGTTTTGACTGATAGCTTTGTGTATTTGGATTACAGAATTTTCAAAGAAAAGTTCCCCAGCACACCAATTCTCCGAGGCAAACCAAAGTTCTCAGAATAATATTTGTAATTGAAGTTTGAAATCAAGTGCAAACAAAACTTCTGATAAAAACATCCAATTAAATTTTTTGTAATTCATTTGAATGCTAGCTTTGAACGATCAGCCTAGCATGATCATGCCTGCTATCACTCCTGTTTGGGATTTTTATCAAATCAATGTCTATCACTTCAACAACAATTCAGAACTCTAGCATTATTGTGAAAAAAATATTACCAAGCAATTGTTCTTTTAATATCAAGAAAAGAGAGACTTCTCATTCAAATGAAAAATTGGCAATGAACATTCTGCGTCATTCAATTGAAAAAGTGAATTAACAATTACAATTATAGCTCGTGGGCAGAGATTTCACAACGACAAGTACAATCAAAATTAAAATAACCACAATAATCAACAAGATTTTTATTTGTACAAGGTCGGTTCTAACTAAAGCAACTTGAGTTGGGCTGGTTTTAGAAACTTGTACACTATTATGTGAATCATTTACTTCACCACACCACTGAAAAAATGACAATCTCCTTCTCATCTATTCCAAGAGCATCTGTGGAATTTTCTTCCATAACTACGCAATTTGTATAACGTATATATTGTACATTGCAAATTGCAATGATAATATATTCGATTACTTAGGTTTCTAATTGGAGCCACAAACAAGCTCGAACTCATTGTAGAATGGCTGCATGGCTTGAGAAGCTATTAAAATACACCTTCAGAATGAAAATTTGACAAATTTCAGTAATGCATAACATTAAAACTAATAAATCAGTTACCAAATATTAGTAAGTTAAACATATACACTACTCCTATCTGATCTTGAAGAGCTGCAAAATTCCTCACAGGTTTCCAACTTTCTGAAGGATTCCCTCATATGCGGATGGTTTTGATAAGAGTAGAGACGCAAGAAGCTGCTCTGTTCTCAACCAAAAGTTGGCATCTGCATTTGTCTTATTATTGTTTGCAGCCACTTCAACCTTTTGTTGCTACTGTTATCTTGTTATATTTACTATATATATATATATATATATATAAAGATGAGAAGAGGTAAGGTAGACTAATTTCAATAGGTTTTTGGTTCCTATAGGTGAGTCGTGGAGAAGGTGAAGTGTGATTGATTGGAGAAGAAGAAGAATAAATAACAACAAAGACATTCATATGGTGAAAAAAAATTAGAACCATCCTTCATGCATAAAATGTAAAACACAAACAACAAACCTTGCCGATTGATCTTCGAACACGACCGAGAAGATGTGAGGCCAAGGAAAGATGTGACTCGTGTGAAACCTTCAAATGCAACAGAGAAGGCAAGGGTTTGGACTCACGACCGAGGGGAAGACGAAGGGAATATGATGCGTTATGAAGAAGGGAAGTGTTTGGACGGACAATACACTCTCTCGCGACTGAAGGGAAGAGGACGTGCGGTAGGGCTTTTTACATGGGGCTCAAACAGCGTAAGAGAATAGATGAAAATGGGAGTTTTAAGTGGTATATAAGTAAATATGATAGTTTATGTGTTTAATATGTATTTTTCATAGTTTTAGGTGCTATGTATGTAAAAATCCCAAAAAAAAAATTATCAGAATCAAGGGACCACCACAATTTCCTCTTAATACCTATATACCTCTATACATTTTGTATTGGTAATCATATCTGTATGGGGCTCTGTATCTCTATACACAATCCAAGTCAGTAGACTCACCCTATAATAAAAAATCACTATCATTAATCCTCGCTCAATATTAAGTATTATTCTCCTCATAAGACACTGACACTCTGATGGCTATAAAAAGGAAGCTTCAACCTACTGGACAAAGGAAGCACCACCAAACTATTGTAGTTCATCATGAGTATGACTTATTAACTCTAGAGAGAGTTAAAATATTATAATTATGATGGATTTCTATAGATGCCTCCAAGAGCTCATGATGTTTGTGGGAGTTTATTCCCTATTATAATTGTCTTGCCCCAAAATCAAATTTAGAATAATTCTTTTTTTACCTTAAAAAAAAACAATAATGACCACTAGAGTTATCTATTTTTTTATCAATAATATAAACTAACAGCGTAAATCATTATATTAATCAAAACATATATATACATTTTATATTCATGCTACAAAAATTATATACAATAATTAAGTGTTATATAATCATATATAAT